CCTCAAAGCTACGCTTTGTGAGATTCAACCAAATCATCGTATATGAGAGAATCCTCTCATATGACACACAAAAAATCTCAGCCATGTGAATAAAGGAGAGAGAATCCCTCATAGCCACACTTCGTCAGATTCAACCAAATCATTGTATATGAGAAAATCCTCTCATATGAAATGCACGCACGCATGCACACACATGGTACCTGGTAGGTTGCGTAATGTGTAGATGACAACTAGTCAAGACCACAGGAATTTTGGTCAAATCAGACCCATACTTACTACACAAAACCAGCATCATGTATCCAAATACATCATAGAAACAATTTTTTTATCTCAAGAAAGAGTTTGATGTAGAATAGCCTGTTTACAGTGCCATTTGCTATTTTGCCAAGTTTCAGACAAGCTGATTAAAACTAGAGAATTCCTTTATAGGGCTTAAACGACTCACAAGAACAGGGAGATCAATACAGCATAGTTTATCGCACAAGGTACAAAGTATAGGCAATGTACAATAATAGCGAGTTGTAATGTGAGATCATACACAAACTCCCTCAACATGACTATTCTCCATTTGATCAACTTCCAAAGCTACTATGAGCTAAGTTGCATTGGTACAGGTACTGATACAGGACACAACAAATTTGTCAAAGGTAGGGCAGGGGAACACGGCTATACATATGTATGTTATGTATATTATGTGTATTAAAATTAATAATTTACACAATATCAATATTGTTTTATCATTCACATAAGATCTAAATAAGAAATAGATGTACAGTGTAGAATATAGTCCAAGAAATGCATGAAGATTGTTTTAAATTTAAACATGTATTATATAACTGAGTATATGCCTCAATAAACGTACGCATATATTCAAGAAGTTTCCAACAAGTTCGTTACAGTTACAGGTACGGCTTCTGATTTGAAGTCATCAGGTAACATAGACTATAAGTATCACCTTTTTAAGGATATTACTACCTCAAAGTGAAAAACCGAAAAATTAACTGACAAAACAAAGAAACAGGGTGTGATAGACAATAAGGGTCTCCACAACAATGTAGGAGAAGAAAGTGACCTAACAGATCGATTGCAGTAATAACAGCTTGTTTTGCAGTTGAATGTTCCACGTGCAGGAGCCGTGAAAGCATATTGGTCCCCTGTAAGGAAAAGTTTTAAGTACATAACAATCTCATTCCAAATACAATGTCAAAAGCTGCAAGAGAACAGAGATGAGAATCCTCAATGTTTCCAATACAAAAGATTATTTATATAAGCTGCAGAGAAAAAAGAGAAGACAAAGTTATTATTCCATCCAACCTTAATCTATCTTCGATCTATACTTCTATAAAAGAGGATTGCTACGTTGGAACTTTTGATTTCCTTTTATACCCTCTCAATTTTACCCTAATCTATCTTCATCTACTACCATAAGGATATTCAATCTCTTTAGCAGTCATTTCCTTTGTATGAAAAATGATTTTTGATATAGTGGACCCCCTAAAGTTTTGCCAGTTGAGAGAAAAGTTCTGTTAGTTTTGAGATAATTGTTTAAATTTAACATTAAAAACTAATTTAATAATATCCATTAATCTATAACTATATGTGCAACGCGCGTATAGCATACTATCCTCTCTAAAATAGAGGTTGGGAGAGTTACATAAACGGGTGTGGATACTGACCCAATTACCCAAATACCAAAATAACTAAACTTTTAATAATTTCTAACGTAAGCAATAGATGTGAAAGGTGTGGCCATGAATAAATTATGCAACAGAGTACAACCTTCATAGCATATGCATCATATGTGCTCAAACATGTGTTTGTGTGTGGCTTTTTGTGTGTTTTTGTGTGCTTTTGTAAATACATTAGTGATAAAAAGAACATGTTGCTTAGGCAACAGATTTTCCAATGTGGCTCATGCACGATGCTACATATGTGTCTTATATGTTTGGTCGACCCGCATAATGCACAATCGAGTTGCATCTCACACTCAAAATATGCACTCTCAAGAAAAATAGATTTTCTAATAATTTAAATATTTGAAAATATTTAAAAATTCCCAAAATATATGAAAAACTGGGGGAAATGTGATAAATTTCAGAAGGATGCAAAAATACAGCATTTTATGTGTATGGGTAACAGACAGTATAACCGAACAAATTGACCATAAGTCATAAAAATATAAAGTTTACAATATAACTAACAAAGCATAAAATTTATCAAATACTAATACCAAACAATAAAATAGAAAAGTTAACATCACTGAAAGTGAACTCACCTCTCTTTTTAGTTTTTATGTTACATCTGGCTAAATGTTAACTTGTAGTTTTGAGATTACTCATTTCAGTGTAGAAAATAACGCATTTCATAACGCAAAATAACGCTTAATGTAACGTAACGTTACGTAACGGTGGAAAATAACGCACGAACAAAATAACGTGCGTTATTTTATCCATAACGCACGTTACGTAACGTGACGGCGTAACGTTTTATAGCTTAGGTTATTCTGTCAATGGCTTTGATTGCTTTTGAAAAAATTTGAACGGCTGTGATTGAGTTACTTATTACATTCAACAAAACCCTAAATTAAAGTCGTCACCTCCATATAAATTTCTTCTTCTCCAGATCTAACTCGTCGTCTCCCCCAAGCCCTCTCCTTCTTCTCTTGAACGCGAACGAAGCGTGAGCTTCGACGGTTCGACCGTGTCTCCTGGATCTCCCTTCTCGTCGTCCGCCTTCCCTTCCCATCATCTCCTGGATCTTCCCGCAGTCGGCCTCCCCTTCTCCGCACGCGAAATCCAGCGCTCCACGCACCACATCTCCCCCATCATGCTTGACACCACTCTCCCGCCGCCGTCGTTGGAGCCGTTTCTCCCCCTTTTCACGTCGTCGTCGAAAGAGGGTGACATTTTCTATCTTATAAGCCAGAGGTCTTCTCGAAACCCTGCTTTTTTGTTTTTGATTTTTTAGTGGAATAGTTATGTTTCTTGATGCATATGTCCTCATTAGTGTTTTTATTGGAGAAAGATCTATTTTTGTGAATTTGTGATGATATATTGATTTGCGATGATTATTCATATTTTTTTAAATAATAATAAATTATTTAACCTACGTTAAGAGTTACGCTATTTTGTGTTTTGCGTTAACCGGAGGTAAGCGTTACGCTATGCGTTATCGCTATTTTTAACATTGCTCACTCGTTCAAAGATTAGATACCAAAAGAGTAGAGAGAAGGAAAATGTCGAAACTTGTAAATTAAACCAAACAGAGAAGATAAAAACAAAATAAGACGCACCTCTTACATGACTATTGCCCGGAGTGCGAAAAATTAAAAAGAAGAGTTCTCTTTGAATTGAGGAGAAAGATAGATCGGTGGGGTATTAGTTTAATAATTGAATCTAGCCCCCCAGGGTTTTGTTTAATTGGTGCAATTTGTCCAATTTTGTTGTGTTTAATTAGGCAATTGATAGGTTAAAGAAAAGAAAAATGCATAATCATTTGTTTAATCAAGTATGCCAATGCATAATCCACATGTAAACAGTTGTTCTTTGTGACCGCAAAATGGAAGTGCACAGCCCTTATTAGGTTTATGCAGCTGCATGGACGGCCATCTAGGTATTCATGTCTTTATAGAGAAATTATTAATTTAAATATGATTTCTTTTCTAGGCTATTTTTAGAACTTTTTTTGGCCACAACTAAGCTAGCAACTGCGGTAGGCCAACGCAAGACATCGGTCTAAAGTATTGATCAAAATTATAAACAAAATTCGTCATGAAGTCAGGACGTGGGACGCTACTTGAACCGCAACCCAGGTTCAATCGTCCCGGATTCAAGGTGATTCAATCGTCCCGGATTCAAGGTGGAAGACGTCCCAATTCACCAACTCTAGCAACCCGATTTAGAATTCAAGCCGGTTAAAATTTTGGCAAACAATAACTCTTTTTAAATAGAATAGACAACCAAAAAACATGAGAATTTAAGCAATGAAGTATGCATACTTTAAGTGCACATAATTCTCACGGTTCTTCTACCATTACTGATATAAACTAGCATATTTTTTAAATTTTACTATCGCAAACCGAACATAATATGTACCATGTTCCCTAGTGTACCATAACCTTGAATCTGATTCCTATGAGTGGATAACCACGCTCCCATACTCAATCCATGAACGGGAACGAATAGGGTTCCATGCAACTATGGGTCACCAGAACCCTATCCAAACGGCATCTTAAGGTATGGGTTGGAACATTGTCAGGATAGGATTTGATTACTCGGGGCATTCTGTTTTGTGTATATATATGATGAGAAATCCAAATCAACAATTGTTTTTGGTTTAACAAAATTATTATTTGATTTTAGCAGAGTTGGGCGTTTTAGTAGGATGGAAGTATTTTTGCGAAAGTAAATACCAAGAATGCAAATTCAGGTATAGGACATTGAATCTTAATTGAAGAATAACAGGAGTTCTCCAAAAGCAAAGACATACCACAAGAGCATTGATTCTAGCTTCTATAACAGTTGAAGGAGCATATCTCGCAGCATATCCGTACATTAGAGCTAAAGCAGCATATATATCATCAGGATCTTCACCTCTAGCTCTACTTGAGAAGAAAGATAAGAACCTACACCATAGGATATCAATGAACAGTCAACACTGCAAAAGTTTTGAAACTTGAAAAGATATGTTTTATAAGGAGAAAAAATAAAGCATGCATCCGGAACTTTATATACATTCATTTATATTACCACAGAACAAGGCATTTGTAAAACAAGGCCAAGCAAATATCACACGAAAGGATGTCAAACTCGTTATACATCTTGAAATGATTTGCATCACTTTCAAGGAAATGATATATCACCATAAATAACAATACAACAACTACATTGCAACTCACTCTAACTGGCTAAAAAAGCTTACGAATAGAAGTCCATTTGCAGCTTTGCCTATCTTTGGTGCGATCAAGCTAGCATGTGCACAGAGAAACGTAGGAAGTGATGACAAAAGTTTTTGCAGTACGGGACCTTTGTGGGTATGAACCTCTAATATATTATCTCATTACATGGCAAGGTAAATTTACCTTGTGGAAAAACAGTAAAGAAAACATATGTAAACCAAGGTACAAAGTATCAATCAACACCAATATTTAATAGAGCATACCATATCGAACCTTAAGTATGCTGATATGATTCAGATAAAGGCGTCTAATATCGTCAATTACATTTCTCTTGTGGTGCTTGGGTGAGTATGTATACATATGTAACTGGCGAGGAACAGTGTGTCATTCCAGGTTCTTGCCAGGTGTGATACTAATTTGTCACACATCTAAACACACTAATTTGTCTCATATCTGGTAACACAAGTTTGAACTGCAGCCTTTACAAACCCGAGCCCAGCCCATTGACACCCCTAAAATTGTACAAGTCTTAACCCCGTCTACATCATTCATGAGCTACGGGCAATAAGCACAACAGAAGAAGGCACATAGTGCAAAGTGTAGAACGGAAAGATGGTACAAATGATAAGAGCAAGAAGTAATATGATGAGGAAGCACAAGAGAAAAACATTACATATTTACGACATGAATGATAATAACGACTACAAACAATCCATATTAGCATTCAAAGATAGATTTATTCTTTAAACAATGTTTTATACACCATATAACATTAATCATGAAGGGAAGGCAAGAAACACTAAGGGTACCTTTGAAACCTACTGTGTCCAACATTATCCAGTATTGATTTAAGTTTTTCCAGTACAGTATCCAGATGTGAAGCTGCTACCTGCAAGAAAATTCAATAATGATGATGAAAAATAACATCAACAAGCAAAACACAACTCCTATTACCAACATACCAAACCCATGCCTTTGGCAAGCCCCAGCCTATTTACAGGTAAAGATATGTTAGCTTGTTTATACATCGAATCAATCTTGTTATGAACATAGATTCTGTCATCAACTTTTTGGAGAAGCATGCCAAGGCATCTGCAAAAGGTAAAATAAAAACATTAAGGATATCCTGGAACCACAGCATGATAGAAACAGGAGCCTCAAAATAAAATCAAATTTCTAAAGTCCATGTTAATACCAGATTTTCCAAAATAAAAGCCAAACTTAAGCCAGTACCTGGAGCAAATAAGAGACTGAATCCAACTCGAAAGTAACTTATTCTCGCTATATGGTAAACACTGTTATGGTACTTCGTATACTAGTATATTACAAAATCCAACATTAAGCCAGCTGTGTGAGTTGAAATTAACAAAAAGCATGTTCCAAGTGTCCATGAAACCCCTCATGCACATATCAACATAGATAAGCTTAATTATGTCTATGTGTATGTGTGCGCATGTCTGTATTATCAACATTTGAAAAAGCTTTTTGAAGCAACTATGTGGCTCGCTATGAAGAAGTTTCAAGGATAATTGCTTCGAAGCAATAAATAAGTGATCCATACCTAGAAACAAGTGCCTCATCACTTACGAGCATAACTGGGTATGCGCTTTGCGTCACGTGAAGTGCTTCAAATCTTTTTTCAAGCAGACTTCAAGATAGGATACTTCTGAATAAAACTAAAATACTACAATCTCTTCATTTTCCTTTCGCTGCTCATAAGAATTTTCCCTTCTTTCTTTTTCATGGAATTAAAAAAAAGGTGACTAATCACTTGTAGGTATGATGCTTTGTTAGAACATTTCTTTCTTTTTTTGCTAATTTAACTTGTTCTCCAACAAGTTTGGATTTGGTTTCTTGCATCTTAATTTGTTTGGATGGGTTTTAAATTCATCTCAAGCATTTGAATTTTTCTCTTTCGTGAGTTGTGTTTATTTCCCTGTTAATTTTTATAGGGACACTTTAATCATCTTTTTGCTGATTTAACTTGTTTTTCAACAAGTTTGAATTTTAGGTTGGTTTCTAGCTTCTTTGTGTGTTCAGATGGATTTTATGTTTTGTCTCTAGCATTTGATTTTTTTTACTTCTGTGAGTTTTATTTATTTCCGTGTTCAAGTTTATCTTGACTCTTGAACCAATGTAGCAGCTGAGCTTAGTTTCTTATTAATAAACTGTTAATTTAAGCCATATACCTTCAATATGACCACGTGACTAATAAGATATATATCTAATACATGTAGCTTAGTTTACTACAATTGTGTTTATACTTAGCATATTTCATCCTTCCTGACTGTCCAAGATCTAAATGCATCTATTTGTAAAATTATTACCCCTCTATCTATTACATGCTTATAATAATTAATTTATGAGGCTATGTTTCATGCCTTGCATCTTATGTCTCACTTCATAAAAGGATCCAGCACTTTGCCTTGCACTTCCACCTTTTAAACAGTCCATATTATACAATATACATGTTCTTATGTACATGTAAGGCATTGATGACCATATTTAGAGCCTAAGTTAAATGTCCACCTCTACTATTACAATCACAAAGGAACACGCCTAATGTGGCATCCATCATCATGTGAGACATTTAAAAGATAGGAATGATGAATGGTTGCATTTCAATAATCCTCTGTATCTATTCAAATATAAACCCTTATAAGCTAGAAAATAGTAGTGAACCCACACTGCCAAAATAATGAGGATGCTTGGGAGGCTTAATTTTTTAAGCTCATAAGTTATGTTAGTTTTTGGTGGCTTTTGATTTCCATGATAAATCTTTTATAAAATTTGTATGGGTAGAAAAGTAATTCCCTTGGTCAAACCTCGTTTATTTAGTTGAGCTCATAAGCTAGTTTTTCAAATGTTAAGTAACCTTAGCTTTTTTAAATTGAGCTTAAAAGCTAGCTTAAAGGTTACTTAGACCAAAAAAGAAGCTATGGCAAATATTCACAATGCGAAAAACATACACATATGACACACCAGATAAAAATACCATAAATGTCCTCTTTAAATGCTATCCTTTTACATAAGCAACTAAGGTTTTTACCTGTAAGAAGTGTACCCATTCATGTGTACAGTGCAAACATCCCTCCAAACTAGTTCACGGCAATAACATAGAAATGGCAATAACATAAAAATATATGCACGTGAAACTATAGTTTATGCAACTCTACATAGTTGACATAACATGCCTTTCTGTCCATAGGTGATTTGCATGCACAGAATATTTAAATATATTTAGTTAAATGTAATTCATATATCTTCACACTTGAAAAAAAGGCTTCATATATCTTTACACTTGAAAAAAAAGGCTTTCACACATATACTTCCCAAACTGAAGGTCATAGCACTTGTTCTATCACAATATAAAAAGTTAGCTCATAAGTTCCTGCAAATATATCATGTACATGAATATAGACTAATAAATAAGTGACTCTTTTATCTTTTCTCTCCTTTTTCAGTTGTACGCCTGTGCACTTTTTTCGTTTCTTATTTTGTTTTGTGTGTGAAGGGTGAGGAGGCGGTGTTTGATGTCTTCCTATGTTGGTCAGGTCTTCTTGAAGAGTATGCAAGACTTGTGATTATTTCATGTTTTGCTTAATATATAACACCTATTTAATATTTCATAATGGTAAGTATGCATGTATTTGTGTGCAGATACTATCATGTGTATTTGTGTGCAGATAACTTGGTCAGGTCTTCTTGCAAAGAATGCAAGACTTGTGATTATTTCAAGTTTTGTTTAATATACGACACTTTCTTAATTAATATTTCGTAATGGTAAATATGCATTTATTTGTGTACAGATACTATCATACAAGGTAAATGTATTGACAACACACACATGCACGCACATTTATTTGTGTGCAGATACTGTCATACAAGGCAGCACGCAACTAATAAACAAGTTGAAAGACACGTGTGCACACACGCCGATGCACACCCGCACACAAATCTGTGAAAACATTGGAGTGGTGAGGGTCAGCTTCTACCGTGCAACCAGCAGGGTTACTCCATCTCTTGATAGCTTATTTAGCACAACGAGTTGTCACCCGATACATATTTTTTAATGTGTATGTGTTTGTGGATGTATCTCTGCATCTGTATTTACATATCATAGATATAATTATATATTACTAGCAAATGTCCATGAAAGCTGAAGAAATAAAACATCAGCTGGAATGTATATAAAATAACAGGAATAAGCCAGCATAAGTATGAAAATATAGACATTTAAAGAGTAGTCATCTCCGCTGAAAATCAGTACAAAATGATCCAAATACCTATGTAGCAGTGCTGAATGCTCATCATCGGCGGCATACAGGTTATACTGTCTTTCAAAAGCATTGCCCAAGGATATGATCCATTCAGTGTCTTGAAGGACATCCAGAGATTCTGACAAGAACTGCCATTAAATAAGAATCAGAAGTAAATATAAAACCACTAATCAAAGAAATTTTTTTGTTGGTTATGTGGTGGGAGGAATTCAGAAGTATTTTAGTAGGACATACAGAATAAAAATATCCACACAAAAAATACTCAATTAGAAGCATATCTCCCAGATACCTGATCACTGATCAAAAATATTAGACAACTAAGATGTAAATACCATGTATCACTAAATATTAAAAAGCATGTAGCATTTAGTACTGCACGTCTGAATGGAGAAGTTTTCTACAAAGGAAATTGTAACTACAAAGAAAAAATATTGTGCAACATCCACCAGGAAAAAATATTGTGCAACATCCACCAGGTTCAAAGTCAAGAAATCAGTAGACTATGAAAATATATAAACCAGACTTACATTTATAATCATATCATCCCAGGTCTCTTGATATGAAAGATCCTGCTTTAAGTCTTCAGGATCACTGATATACACCTTCATTTTAGGTACCTACTTGCCCCATGAGAACTATAAGATAAATGTATGAACAGAAATTCTACACATTACTATAGCAGAGATAATTTCTGTCCAGAAGAAAGAAGTAATAAGACAACCATATTACTTAATATCAAAAAAATAAATAATAAATACTTATACGAGAAACAAAAAGAAGCACTGCTCATTTCAAAGAAAAATTTCACAAAGCAAGAGTTTTAGCTCGTATGATAACAAAGAAAATAAATAACAAGCATCTTATGTAAAGTACTATAACCAATAGGTCCAGAACATGACAAATTGAATCCTGTAGATACATTTATCATCGACTTGTCTTAAGTAAATATTTATTAGAGATATCCATATATTTTAGCCCTACTCAGAAGAAAGCATATTTTGAAGCTAGATACATGTGTAAGTATAATCCTTATAGAAAAGCCAAACAATGTAAGGTTCAGGTCATGATAATATGTTTGACCATCACCATCGTTATGAATTAATAAAGAAGTATACTAATGTGAATCACATGAAGATTTATCGTATATGATCTTGGAGGAAAATTCTTAGTTTAGTAAAATCATCGTCTGACACGGATTGAAGTTACTTCACTAAAAAAAAATTCTTTTTTTGGATATTCTGCTTTAGTTAGCTAGAATTCATGGATTTTAGCTTTGCTAAGAATTAATTTGTTCAGGATTAGGAATTTTAATGATATTTCAATTTGAGCACTTTGGTGCATTGTTTTTTCAGTAACTTGATTATCTTAGAAATTTACTGTTTATGTTAATGGACTGCATGCAAATTACTCCCCCAACCAAATTCATCTGTTATTTCTGATCCCTCCTCTCCAATCCATCTGTGACCAAGGTTTTAAATGTCGGTTATCGGGGATTTATCGGACGGTCAACATTCTTATCGGATAGCGGAAATCGGGGATATATCGGGGATAAATAGTATTTATCGGAGTAATATACTAGCAAATAATAAACAAACATAAGCTTGAAAAATAATATAATGTTAGTCAAAATGGAATAATAAACTAGCAAATAATAAGATAACATCAAGAATGAAGAATCATCTACGCATCTACATAATTATTGTTTAATCATGAGATTCATAAACTAACTTACTAAGTTGATATTTAGTAGTTATGAGCCATTATCAATATCCATAAACAAACATAAGCTAATCACCAATCAACCAAGTTCCAAAAGCAACAAATAGTTCATAATTTGTAAACATTCAAAGAGCAAATCCAAAAGAAAGCAAAAGCTCCTAAATCCTACTTATCGGCCGATAAAACCGATATTTAGAGCCTACTTATCGGCTGATAAGTACCTTTATCGTCGATAACTCGCGATAAACCTCAAAAAACGATAACCGAATAAAAATCCTACTTATCCTAGCGGAAAGCTCCCAAATCCGATAACTCGGCGATAATATCGGATTATCGGCCGATATTTAAAACCATGTCTGTGACCGCCTATAATTACTAATTATCTCTAACCTTTAGAATATAAACTTGCGCTGTTGCTGTTGCCAGTCTAGTACCTCCGCATTGCTGCTGCAGCTCCTTTCTGTTACTACTGCAATTGTTCTGACTATTGTGGCTGTAGTTCTACAGAACAGTTCACACATCCTCCCTCCCTCTCCTTCAAGTTTCGGAGCAAGATCCCAAATCTTAGAAAAATGTATCAGACCAAACTTAAGGGGCTGTTTGGAAATCAGAACGTAAACGAAATGTAGAAAATGAAGATAAAAGTGTTTTCTCACAGAAAGTACTTTCTCATGACCTATCTATAAAAATAGACTATTCATCAACATCTTAAGTGAATATTATTCTCGATCTTACAGAATATAACTTAAACTAGAAAACTCTAGATCAAAAATCCTACTCCCACTTGATGCTGGAAGAAGAAAGATTCTGCATAATAATTCACTTAATGCCCACACTCCGTGGTCGAACCCTGACCCCATCAGATTTGCCAGTTCCATTCACACGCCTAACCAAGTAACCATACCCCTAGAGAAGTATGTTGATGTATTTCACCCATTATCAGAAAATTTAACAGGCAATTCAGTGAAGCATCTAAATGTATGCATTAGGTCAGCGCTTAATTTTCTATATGCAAAAACTGTTGATCACAAGTGGGGATGCTGAGATAAATTGCAATACTAGATTGATCTATGTAAAGAAATACCTTAAGATTGCAATACCTCATCTTGCCAAAATAAGCTGAGATTCTTTGGATATAGTGGTCCTAAGCAGCACAAGACCTGCAAGGTTTCCAAACCGGAGGTAAAAATACTGTATACTAATATTCCTTCACAAGAGCAGCATCAAAGTACAGTGTGCTCTAACTGATTTTTAGTACCAATGTCAATTATGTGTATAACAAGGTAGAAATGAAGATGAAGGGGAAACAAACGAGAGATCAACCATGTGGCAGAAGAAGACAGGTGGCAGGAGAAGACAGGATCCTATATAGGACCAATGCAGTGCATCATGAATGATAAGTATTTGAATGAAGTTTTCAACTTGTGCTATCAGCATAAGTTAAATGTGAAAGATCTATTAGTGTAGTCAATAAAAGAAGGTACGTAAATGGCTAAAGGATGGCTAATTCAAACCTCATCTGTGTAGTCGAAATAAAATAGAAATAACTTGCAATATAATGATGATTATAAAACTACATCCTATATATAATATGGCCAATGCTTATGCACAGTTTTCAGTAAGTAGAAAAGTAAGGTATGACACCGTTAAGATGTGAGTTGCCAACTGCTCCCTCGCCAGTGGATCATGTAGAAGCACAATCAAACGCGCAAAAAGGTCCTGCATAGAGTATCGTAGAAGTTTATTCTAAATGCAAATAAATACAAGGAAGATACTAATTTGAACATGGTGCTTACCTCAGGGCTCGGGATATTATTTGAGGAGCTAAATTCACAAAATGTTGCATTTGTATGAGAAGATCTATGTCTACATAGCTCAGATATGCATTTGCAAACCTGAAATTGAAAATTAGGGATAAGTAATCAAATTATTTAGAACAATGTCCGAGAGAGAGGCCAGTGGATATAATAAGGACATTCCATTCAACAGCGGATAATAAGGACATTCAGATCAACCCATATAATCCCACGAACTGACTGCCTAAGTAACAAATGAAAATCAGATCATCAGATCATTTTCAGGACAAAAGAGTGAATGAATGCCAGTTTAGGGAAGATGAAATTCTCAGGTTGAAGGTCAAAGAAATCATGAAAGTGCATGTTCTTTACGTGGACTCAACATTGTTCGCATAGTTCAGAGCAGGTACTTGTGAAATAAATTATTGTCCTGCTATTACACCTAGTTTCCATGACCAAAACTAATGTGTAATTTAAACGCCCAACACTATGCTCATGACTTGGATTTGTTCTTTGGGACAACCTTATTTTCAATGAGACGTCAGTAACAGGAACGAACTTCTTGGTGCTCTTGGAATCAGTGTTTTAAAAGCAAAAGATGAGGTCTAGGCAACGAGGTCCATTGTTGCCTGAGGGGGGGCGCCAAAAAAGGTGATCGTCTATGTAAACCAAGGTGATAATTCTTCAAAACATTCATAAACATTATGAATAATATGCAAACATCAATAGATAGCAACAAGACAAATTAATCAGTGCCAAATTATCAAAGTTCACAAATCTAGTGATTTATAAACCATCTAAATGAAGTAGTAAGCAACAAATACTAAATAGTAATATTAACCATTACAGCTAGCATAGATTATTAAGTAGCAAACTTTGAACTTTAAGGTTCAACTTGTGGCATGTCGGCCAAATGATATAGGTAATAAAGTACATTACAAAAAATAAGCAAAAACTCGACCAAGAAAAAAAAGAAATAGAAATTCAATAACAAAGACTTTACTTTATTGGACACCTTTCACACCCTCAAAATTTTGAAATAGAGACAAACATCATGCGTCTTGCATCACAGGCCCTAAGCAAGTGCCGCGCCTAATACGCCAAGGCAAGGTCATAAGGTGCAAAGGCAAGCTCCTGAGGCTATAAAAGGCGCTTGTCTTAGTAATTTTCTTCGCCTGTAATACGCAAGGCACTAAGTAAGAAGATTGCCTAGACTGAGCGCCTGAGGTGCTAAAGCGATCGCCTTTAAAATAATGCTTGGAATGTGGTTGGAATTTTACATCAGTGAACATTCAGTTGCCTGACTCCTAGGAAAACCAACCTGGGACATGACGCATTAAGAATATTGCCTGAAATCTACCACAACATGTTAAGAATAAATGCATAGCAGGCAGACTGTCCAAAAGTGGGACATGTTGATCTCAAATATCCCTGATGCTTCATTCAATTTAAAAACATGCATAGAACATCATATTAAGTGATAGTAGTAATCTTAAAGACTACCTTAATTTCAAAAGTTAAAAAGGATACTTATAATAAACTCTTGAAGGGTATCTTTTGATTCAAGAGGTCGGTTGGACTAGTAGCTCTGATATCATAACAACTAGGAATACATGTATTTTTCCTTGATTTATTTGTTGTGTACAGAGGCTAGATTCATACTACTAATTCAATTGCCACTGGAGCAGCCACGTGGCAACCTTTTAGCTCCTTATTATCCCGCCAAGAAAAAGCTAGGAAAGAAAAGAGAAAAAAAAAGGAAAAAGAAATAATTGAAATCTGTTAAAATTTACCTATCTTTGTTAAAGCTGATCAAAATTGAATTCTCTCTACGATCCTCCATCTTCCCACTAAGAAAAAGATAAACCTAATATTATCTCTATATTAAAACTAATCAAAATTGAATTCTTTCTCTATTAAAATTGATAAAAACCGAATTATCTCTTAATTAAAACTACTCAAAACAGAATTCTCTTTCTCTAACCAGCTACCTTCCATCTTTAGGCCTAAATTAAAACTACTCAAAACAAAATTCTCTCTTTCTAACCAGCTACCTTCCATCTTTTGGCCCTCATCTTCCCTTTCTTAACCTTTTTTTGTGAAAGCATCTCAAATATGATTGTTTAATCAAGTCGCAACACCGATAAACCAGTTGGGTCCTACACAGCCGTTTTGAGAAGCTTGAGAAAGCGCAAGCGAACAAAAACAAATACAATGTGTTATTTCTTGATTAGTAATTCAGTTCTTTTTGGAACTATTAATATAATTTTGTGTATTTGTTTACATGTTCAATCTTCTTGCTATTAGTTGCAATATCGTACCCGAAACCGACACAGTGTGTAGGTAGAGAATACCTAGGGGCGCGAGACAACTCTCTCTAAGGAACTCGGCAAAATAGCGCTGTAGCTTCGCTCCTCACAAAAGGGATCGCAGTGACCAAACCCGGACGACTGTTTACCAAAAACACAGGTCTCCACAAAGTCATAAGACCATGTATTGCCCAGTGCCAAAAGGTCAAGGAAGTTGGTGAACTGATGATAGGGGAGCCGGCTACCGAAGCTAAGGTGAACGGCGGTCGTAACTATAACGGTCCTACAATAGCAAAATTTCTTGTCAGGTAAGTTCCGACCTGCACGAAAGGCGTAATGATTTGGACATTATCTTCCTTCATAAGGCAATGCATTTGGGAGGATTGGGGGGCAAGGTTTTAAATATCGTATGTTGGGAAAATATCAAATGACCAAAATTCATATCGAATTGCGAATATCGAGAAAATATCGGGGATATGCATCGAAGTACTATATTGGATAATGTGCATATATAATACAATGTTCTAAGGTGACCTAAACTTATTGAGACATAAGCATACAAAAATGTAACTAATGTGTTTAGGATAACATTTTAAAACGAAGTCCAAATCAATTTTTTAACATTTCAATCAATTTTTTTGAGAATGAAATGACGTGTGATATATTGGGAGAATCATGAAATGTCACCCAAAAATTGTCGAAAGCGGTATATTGTTTAGCAACAATTGATATAAAAGAACATATCAGCCAACATATTGATTACTATATCGGCCATGTCGAGGATATCTCGTGGGAAATTGCTAAAGCGATAAAGGATATTTAGACCATATTGTTTTCGGGCAAACCCTATAAAAGGATATATCAGACAATATGTCAAGCCATGTCAACAATATTTAAAACAATGTTGGGGAGGAAGAATAAAACACACATACTCTCCTTTCAATTTAGGACATGTGTTTGTTTGTATGGTTTGATGTGGGTAGACTCTAATTTCTATTGAACTTCGACTTTTTCTTTTTAACTTTTTCTATTCATGCTATTGTTGAAGGTCCATCCATGATTAATAGTTTTGCCCCTTAATGGTACGCTCTCTTGATATTTGTTAGTAGTATTTTCCAATGCTTACATGTTCAAAACAGCCCTGACGCTGAAACCAGGTCGGTTTTTAAAAATATTTTTCCGAAACTTCACGAGAGTTGAACTCCCGTGAAGTTTGTAACATGCAAAAAACTCCACGAGACTTGGAGGTCCCGTGGAGTTACAGTCGAATTTCCTGCGAACCACCTTTCTGAAAATTTCTTGACTGCAACTCCACGGGACTTGAAGCCCCGTGGAGTTTTAGACGCCTATATAAGCACCAGGTCTGTGAACTTCTCACCCAACCCGCAGACCCCTCTCACCCGTTCCCAAACCGAAACCCTAGACCCCCTCTCCACCATACCTCCAAGTGAGTCATTGTTCAGACCATATTAGCTCGGGACAGGTAAAACGTTTTTGGTATATATATTCCTTAGCATTTGTACTAATTTTAATTTTTCTCAATATACTTAATCAATTTTATTTGACGAGCAGCCCGTACCAAACATCATCATGGTCGATCATTCCCGGAGTCATTCGGCTTGGGTCATTGAGGATGAGAGAGTACTACAACTGATAGCTCAGGTCAGCTTCCAGGAGTGTTCGACAGTACGATATATTAGGTTTGATTGGCCGCTTATCACTGCACTGATTGAGATGTGGAGGTCAGAGACCAACATCTTACACATGCATATAAGGGAGTGTATCATCACCTTACAGGACGTAGCCGTCGTACTTGGGCTCCGCATCGATGGCCCGACAATTACGGGCACTGATGATCATAATTAGGCTGAGATATATGTTAGGCTTTTTGGTCAGGTTTCCGACTTGAGGAGTGGTGCGATGAAGCTATCGTGACTTCGTCAGACATTTCAGGGAGATATACCAACAGATGCCTCCATTGAGACGCTTGAGTTTCATGCTCGTGCGTACATATTACACATGATAGGGTGCATGCTATTTCATAATACGAGCAAGACTCTTGTACATGCACGACAGCTGTCATACTGGAGGATTTTGGTGTATGCGGCGCACTATCGTGGGACAGTACGGTGTTGGCATACTTGTATAGAGAACTGGGTAGAATATCCTTAATGCAGAATAAAGAACTCAAGAGATGTTGCACGTTGATCCAGATTTGATCATGGGGGCGCATTCATGTTGGCAGACCGGCTTTGCAACAGAACCGCGACTTATAGGGATAGTTTCCTTTGGCATACAGGTATAATTATCCACACAATTTTATTCAACTGAATTTGAACTCATATATTTTTTATGTCAAATAGGTATAATGTACGGTACGCTAACTACAAATCAGCTACGCGACATCGTGAGTTTTACCGAAATGAGCTTGATGGCGTCAAACACAAACAGGTAAATATAAAACTCGATTCGTTATGAATATTATAGTTTTGTTGTTGATATTGATAAATGTTTTATCTTATTTCAGTTCAAGTGGAGACTCTATTCACCGTCGGAGCTCGACATGCATATTCTTGTACCTATCTGTCGGGATAGTCCCGACTTGTGGAGAGCTAGAGTTCCATTGATCTGTTGGGAGATTGTGGAGATGCATGTCCCCGACTGTGTACTACGGTAATTTCTGCTCTCTCAGCATGTGCCAGAACCTATCGAGCAGATCGATCGTCGATGACGACCTACATCGCACCGTACCGACTGGGTCGTAGCCCGTGCAGCCTACATAGATAGGTA